AAGGAAGGAAGGAAGGAAGGAAGGAAGGAAGGAAGGAAGGAAGGAAGGAAGGAAGGAAAGAAAGAAAATCATGTCCAATATGTATGTGAAAATACATAATATATCCAACCTCATCAGTAGTCAAATAAATGCACATTAAAACACAAATAAGGTATTATTTGTCACCTACTGAATCGGAAGGATGAAACAAATGGTAATATACACTATGGACCAGGGTAGAGGAAATGGGCACTCTACTGAATTGCTGTTGGGAACGTAAATTGGATCCATTTGGAGAAAGGATGTAATCTGTCATTATGCATTAAAATCTTTAAAACATGCATGCATGTACTTCAATTCAGCAATTCTACTAGTAATTTATCTTAAGAAAATAATCATGGATATAATCTCAGGTTTATTTACAAGGATGTTTATTGCATTGTTGTTCCTAATAGAAAAAGTTGGAAATAACCTAAAAGTCCAACAATGGGAAATTGATTAAATAGCGTGTATCCACCAAAAATTATATTATAGAACCATATTTTATGTAATTACATTTGTGTTTGCATAATCTACATATGTTAAGAAAAAAAGGACTGGAAGGATATATGTTTACCAAAATATTAAGAATAGTAATTTGAGGGCTTTAAGAACACAGTAGAATGATTTCTGTTTCCCTTTCTTGGTTATTTTCACAGTTTTCAGCCATAATCCTACAATAATCTTATTGAGGGGGAGTATTTTTTTATGCTTGTTTTTTAAACGTTATGGGCAGACCATAACAGCCCAGGAGGGTGGCTTCCTGCATAGCCCTGGCTGGCTCCTCTCAGCCCTCGTCTGTGGGGTCAGGTGGGCCTGTCTAGTGGGGCATGGAAACACACACTTCAGTGGTCTCCTCCCATCTGCTGAAGTCACCTCCGCCTTCTCATTCCTGGCATCAGGGGTAATTCTTCTGTGGATGTTTAATTTGCATCAACATCAGAAGCAGAGCCAGGTACCTCTCTGGCTGCTGCTGAGCTCCCCAAGGCCTGATAACACAATAGGCTGCTTGCTCCATTGCCTGGCAACCAGATGCTTCTTGCTGCTCCTCCCTCTCTTCCCCACCCCACCCTCCCCTCCACCTCTGCTCCTGGCAGCTCCCCAGACACCACATACTCATGGAAGATGTTGGGAAGACTGCGTGGGAGGTGCTGGCCATGAAGTCCGCGATCTGCCGCAGGGCCCAGATGTTGGAGGAGTTGTTCCCCTTCTTCATCTGCTCCTGGATGAGGCCTTCCAGCTCCTCCCTGAAAGACTAAAGTAGGCCCCGAGGTGCTGGTCTCCCCATAGCCTCTCACACAGCTGCCGAACAATGAGCTCTTCCAAGTGCCCACCCCTTGCCCCTGGGTCAGTTAGGTCAGGGCCATGCTCAGGATCCCTGGCCACAAGGGACACGGAGCAGTTCCACTAGGACCTCAGGAATTGCTGTATGGGAAGCAACAAAGAAATGCTGGGAATGGATCTTGTGTTCCCTTGCCCTCTGGGCAGTAATCCAGATTCCAGATCCTTTCTGTGTCTAAATGAGGGCCAAGACCCCTCCCCACCATCAGACATGGTAGGACTTCACTTTAGTAATGAAGGACATTTTTTTAGGCAGAACTGAATGGAGAGAGCCACCATCCCTCTCCATTAGCAATGCCTGTGATTCTTTCCGGCCTCAGTTTCCTCATGTGCTTAATGAAAGCATAGGAGGCAGAACAGGAGGATTTGATGACCTCTGAGGTCGCTTCCACTCCTGATGTTCAACTCCAAGCCTGGCTTTTCAGACCATGGGGCCATAAGCAAGGAATCCCGCCCACCAGGTGGCAGGAGAAAACACTCAAGAGGAAATGGGGGGCCACTTAGGTGTGTTGGCCAACCTATGAAAGGACAGAAGGAAGCAGACCCTCCTCCAATCACTATTTCCTGCCTGAGCCCTGAAATCTGGACTGGTGCTAACTCTGCCGCCTCTCCTAACCCCCTTGTCACCCCTCCTAGCCACACTCTGGGGTTTTCCCAGGGGCTCCTCACCCCAGTGCTTTCAGCATCTGCCATATTCCTCCAGGCTCCCCAACACAATATCGCCCAGACCTGGGTCCATTCCCTGGAGCTGCTCTGTGAAGCCTGAGTAGGCACCATGGCTCCCAGCTAGGGCCTCACACAGCCCCTGCACAGGCCCTGGCTCTCTGGAGCCCAGAAGGCCAAGGCAGAGCGGCTCCCACCTCCTGAGCCCATCCTGGCAAGCAACTGGAGACGCCAACTCTGTCCCTGGGCTTCCCGATCCTTAGGATCATGGGCTGATTCCTGAGGACCCCCAAGCTCTACACAGTCAGATCCCTCTTGCCTCCTCCACACTGATCTCCCTCTGTCTTCAGTGGTCCACAGGGCCCATGCTTCCGCCTTCTCAAAGGCACTACCTGCCTCAAGGAGGAGCTCTGTGTCCACACCAGGCAGGAATCAACCGGCCCCAAGTAAGGAGGGAGGTGAGTGATCCCAACTTGCCTTCCCTTCCCACACCGCATCCCATAGCCCTGCTGAGTCCTCCACTCTCCCCACCTCCTGGGGCTTCCAGGCCCTCCTCAGCCCCATCCCATTCATGTCAAAGCTTCATTTGTCCCGACAGAAAGTTCTTACTTTGTGGTGTTCAGTAAAGGGAGCCCCAGCCCCTCCTTCTGGTACCCTGCTGGTCTCCAATTTACATGGATTTTTCCGTTCACTGTCATAGCTTTCAGTGAGGAGGGAAGACTGGGAACTGAGGCTCCGAAGGGGCACAGGAAACTGAGGGGGACTTCTGTCTCCGTCCCACCTCCCCC